TTAAATGAAATTGATGTTCCTCCCTCCTCTTCCCTTTCCTCCTCCTTTGAACTACTACATCAAGTTGGTGCCACAGCCTGTTTGCTAAGATCCCATGAGTTTTACTCAACATTGCTTTTGCACCAGCAGGGCAAATGTCAACACAGTGAGAAAGGCCAATTACATTTAGTAGTGTTATGAAAATAATTTTGATCTTGTGATCACCCTAAAAGGTTTCAGGGGGACACCCCCCCCCCAGTCAGGGGTCTGTAGAGCACGCACAGAATTGCTCATCTATTCAATGAAAAGAAATGAAAGATAAAAGACCAGGAGATTGACGGTATTTGCTCCTATAAAAAGTAAGAATACCTTGTATGGTTTCCAGATCCCATTCATTTTTCAGGTTTCCGGTCCCAGAGATCCAGTCCCAGGAGGAAGCCTTCCTAAGTGCTCATTACTGAGATCTCCCAACTCCCTCCACCAAGACCGTCTGAACTTAGGTAACTGTGCATGAGGCAAGAGGACAGCTCAGTGAGTCCTGGTCTGCTGCAGCAGTCTGAGCTCTCACTGCTACCTCACAGCCTCTCTGTAGAGTGGCTTGAGGTCATATGTACAGCAAATGGCTTGCAGAGGGGCCTAGAGAGAAATATTGGAAGAAATATTGGAAAATAAGGAATAGGAAGGCCAGGCAAAGAGGGAGGCAGAGTATCTAAGAGGAAGTACAAAGGGTGAAGATCCATATGTCACTCAATCACCCACCCCAGCAAAGTCACTCAGCAACCAAGTGGACAGAATGACTTTGGCTGAATGCTAGCCAGCCTCTGTCATAACCTCCTCACACTGGCATGTGGACACGAGTAAAGTGGCTGTAGTAGCTCAGAAACAAGCTACACATAGACGTGTGTGGGCTGATCTGTTGTCACTGCTAGATGTTCAGTCAGCCAGCAACCGATGGCCAGCCTGCTGCTCAGTACAGCTGACTACCTTGCACCTGTTCTATTCTAGAAGGGTCAGTAGCTTCTCTTGACGTGAATGGCCTGTATTGTGGCTATAAACTTCTGTCTTGCTCAAAAGCCACTCTTGGGAGGCTTGGGCATTTGACTCCCTGACAGATATGAGATCTCATTTGATAGCCAAGAATGCTATCAATGCTGTGCACAGTCACAGCATCTTCTGCACCTACTGCATACTTCACCACCCAGAAGCTGCTAGCTTAGTAGAGCTGATTGCATGACAGCTGTTGGCAGATGTAGCTGGGGCATCTCTCAGAGGCAATAGGACAAGGCTTCAGGATGAAGTGTGCACCCTAATCAATAACTACATATGGGGCCCTGGCCCAACATGTGAAATATGAAAGTTTAGGAAGCCAGAGGTAGAAGTAGGGATGATTCTCCTTACCACCGCTCCCTGGGTTCCTATAGTTCCAGACTCTCCAAGTTCAGGGAATTTGGTTCCCAGAGTGGGGACATTACCACTGGGTAACAACACAACAGTCCTGTACATTTAAAGTGGGCTGCTTTCTGTATCTCAGACTCCTTGTGCCAAGGAACCTGCAGGCAAGAAAAGGAATCACTTTCTGACAGAGGGTGGTGACCCTGATCCGTGGGGAAGAGACATGGCTGCGGTTACATAATGGGCCCACGGGAGTCTATGTCTGGCACCCAGGTATCTACGGGGATGTCTCCTGGTACCCCCCTGCCCAATTCTGATAGAAAGCAGACTCACTTAGCACCGAAGTCTGAGAGGGTGTGTGGTGAGTGATTAGTCGCCCCACTAGGTAAGCCCCTCGGGGCCACAGGGGTGTAAGATGAAAGTGAATGTCTTCAGCAGCCTAGGAGTGTGCAGCTGCATCCGACTTCAGTGGAGCTGGCTGTCAGCAAAACCTCTCAGCTTTGCTCACAGACTTTGGTGCTAAGTGAGTCAAAATAAATAAACTTGAAAAGGGGCTGAGGGCTGGGATGTAGCTCAGTAGCACAAGTGCCTGCCTGGCAAGTGTGAGATTATAAGTTTGATCCCCAGTACCAAAGAAAACAAAGAAAAGGGCTGAGATATGGCTCAATACCTATTACTGCAAAAAAAAAAAGTATAAAAATAAATACTCAAAATAGTAACAATAATGTGCAAGTTCTGTATTAAGTGCTTCATAGTTATTATATTATTTAATCTTTACAACAGGCTTGGGAACCATTATTATGTCCATTTTACAGTGAAAAAAGATAAGACAAAGATTATCACAAGACAAGTCAGCTGGGTAATGACTGGGTTTATAGAGTAGTGTGGGTGGCTCCCTGTGCCATGCTAGGAACACTCAGCAATGGAGCCTTAGCTACGCTGTCTGCTGGCCCCAGGAGCACAGCAGGCCTGGGCACTCCAGAACCACTGCTTCACCAGGGCACTCACAGCATCTGACTTGACGTGACTCTGGCCTGGCTAACAACTGTGGGGCTGGGGATTGGAGTTCAACTCCCACGGGTAAACACTGATGAGCAAGCTGGGAAACGAAAGCAGGGGACCCCAAGAGGCAGCATTTGAATGAAGCTCCTAACACTGTTGGTGGCCCAAGAATCCTACATGTCAAACTCTGGAGCAGGTGGTCCTCACAGATCAGAAATGACATCAAATCAGCTCTGTCGTGTTTCCCCAGGTGGCTTCGCGTTCCAGGACACCAGCAGGGGGCATCCTTGCCCTTTCACTGCTCAACCCCGGGGGGGGGGGGTGCGACAAATGGCCTGTTGCTTGTTCTGCCTTCTGCCCAGCTCAGCCCAGGAGAAAAGGCTGAGTTTCCCAAATTAGGCATCTATGTGACTTCCCAGATTTTTCTCCATACCCGCTATTATTTACATAACATTTTTCTTTATCACATTTGTTTGTAAACCCAACCTCTCCTCATGTTTTGTTTTGGTATTTTTTTGTATTGAAGGGAGAATCTTGCTATCTTGCCCAGGCTGGTCTTGAATTCAGGCTCAAATGATCCTTCTGCCTCAGCCTCCCAGGTGTATGCCACCATATTAAGCAACCTAAATATATATCGGAAAGAAATGTCTACTGGACCTTTTTGATAAAGGTCCTCCCAACTGCCTCTGCTTGCTGCCAGAATTCCTGCACTTGCATTTGCAGGGCTGGCTTTGCAGCAGTGCAGGATGTGAGCGGAAGAGTGAGATTCCCTACTCTAAAGTTACAGTACAGCTGCCTTTTAGTCACTGGGTAAAGATGCGTAAGGTTTTGTTTTGTGGAGTCAGGGCTTGAGATAGAACGGACAGGGTTGGAAATGTGAAAATCCCTGAAATGAGTGGAGGAGAAGAGCCATTCCTCTTCCACCCCAGGTGACAGGGAGGAAAAGGCTGTCTTTCCAAGTACAGAGAGGAGAGGCAGCTGGGGCCTCAGGGTGGACAGCAGGGAAGGACTGGGGGGAGGGGGGACCAAATCATTGCAGGTGGCAGGTGCAGGGGCTTTGGGAAGGCACAGGGATTTCCCTTGCAAAACTCATTCAAACAGAGAGGGAATTTGATCCTAAGGAGTGCCTGAATCTCAGGGCCACAAGGAGGCCCAAGGCCTAAGGGCAGAGAGAGGAGAAACCTGGAGGGAGCAGTTAGTGGGCCTGGCATATTAGGAGTTTCTCAGCAATTTCCTGGAGGCTCAGTTATTCATAGCTCCAAGATCCATCCTTCTGGTTTTAGAATTTGTTTTCTGGGGATTAGTTCTGGGTTGGAAATCTCCTTAGTGCTTTTTGTTTGTTTTGCTTTGGTTTTTTTGAGACAGGGTCTTGCTCTGTAGTTCAATCTGGCTTTGAATTCACTACATAGCCCAGGCTGGCCTTGAACTTGTAGCAATCCTCCTGTCTCAGCCTCTGGAGTTCTGGGATTAGAAGTCTGTACCATCACACCCGAATCCTTAGTGGTTTTTGTTTCTTGGTACTGGAGATTGACCCAGGATCTTCATAAAAACTATCTCTCTAGACAGTTGCATTTTTTGAGATAGTGTCTCACTAAATTGCCCAAGCAGGATTTGAACTTGTGATCATCGTGTCTCAACCTCCTTAAGAGCATGTGCCATCACACCCACAGCTTGCTGGGGACTGTTTACCAGTTCTTCATTCTCATTGAAGTGTCTTCCTCCCTCTGTTCACCATAATCCTGCAGCTCCCTGACCTCCAGGGGAACTTCCAGAGGAGGGTGAGGGTCTCACAGTTGTCGGGGTAGCACAGAGGTCTCTGCTGGGACCTGGGACCTGGGACAAAAACCCAGACCCTCAAAGGGGAAGGAAGTCTTGGGTAGAGCTCCCTACCTCCTCAGCTGGGCTAAGCAGGGCAACAAGAAGAGTAGGTTAGGTAAGAGGAAGTGGGCTAGGGCTGAGCTGGGGCTGGGGACGGAGGCAGCATGAGGTTTGTGTACCCCAGAGGGGCCCAGAGCAGCCCTCCTGCCTCAGGTCCTGGGGTATGGAGCACTAACCCTAACCCTAACCCTGCAGCCAAGGGAACTGGGTGGGTGCTGGCTGGGCAGTGAAGGTCCAGGCCTCAGCAAGGCCCAGAGGCATGGTTGCCTCACCTGGCCCTCATTTTCATGGGAAGGAAGCATTGAGAAAGTACTAGCTTTTCTGTGAACTTTGCTTATTCAAAACATTCAATCCCAGCTGGGCCCTGTCCCCATCCCTACTCCCATCTTTGGGTGGTCCCACCCTCTTGGGCCAGAACTGCTGCCCTGAAGCCCACTCTCAAGGACTCCCTTCCCCTGTGTGCTCCTTTTACCTGTTTTCAGTCTGTGAGCCCAAGCAACAGCATCCCCCCAGGTCCTCAGATTGCTCTTCTTGGGCTCCTGGGGACCCAGAGGGCCTGGCTCCAAGGCGCCCAACTCGAGTGAGCTGCCTCTCAGTGCTAGTTCGTGCAGGGAAGGAAGCCTGAGCCGGAAGTGCTGAGGCACAGGACGAAGGGGGGGTGTTTCAGGAGGGAAGCCAGGCGCCCTGGGCAGGAGTGGGGGCTGCAAGCAGGGCAGGAGGAGCTGATTTACAAGGCAGATGGGCCTTGGGCCAGAGCTCTGAGCCCTGCACCCAGCCACTGCTACCCTGTGAGCTATAAGAGCACCCAGACTTCCGGACCAGACTGACTCTGGGGGAGTGCCCTGAGAGCCCAGCCTGGCTCCCGTCCTGTCAGCTTTCTTCCGTCTCTCCTCTTGCCAGCCTGTGACTTCCCAGCTTCTCCAAAGGGACACTTGGTATCATGTCTCTGCTCAACCCTGTCCTGCAGCCCCCTCAGGTGAAGGCCTATCTCAGTCAAGGGGAGCGCTTCATCAAATGGGACGATGTAAGTAGGGTGGGGCCCCTCTGACTGCTGGGGAACTGGGCAGTGGGGACTGAGGGTTGGTTTATGTCTCCCAGGGCCTAGGCGCCTGCTTGTGTGGCTTGGCCAGGCAGCTGGCACTTGTCTGAATAAACAAGGCTGGGGATGAGGTGTGTGTCCCTGTCTGCCAAGCTCTGTGTCTAGGAGTGAGGAGGAGGTGGGCTGCCTGGGGGGAGGGGGGTGTCCAGGGAAATAGTTTCTTTGGATCTACGTTTGTCCTCCTCACCTCTTGGCTGCAGAAGAGCAGGTATTTTGCTCCTGGCTCAGCCTTGTTGGGAGGAAAGCACACCCCAGAACTGAGACAGTGTTACCTCCCAGCGCTATACCCCACTTTTGCTCCAGCAGGGGCCTGGAGTTCCAGACCCCACTCTTTTCCCCTCTCCACAAGGTGCCTTGGGCCTGTCAAAGAAACCTGACTGTCTCCTCAGCAACTGTCAGGGCAGCCCCTAAAGGCTCTAGGAGCCAAATGAGAGCTAGAGATACTGCTCCAGGGGCCCGGAAAGGGCCAGACAGACTTCTGTTTTCCCATGTCGGGTAGGCCTGGTCCTGACTCCCAGCAGCCTGTCTTGGGGAGAAGGGGAAGGCGTTGCTTCCCCCGTACCCTGTCTCCACAGTCTGTTCCTCAGCTAGGGCCTGCTTCCCAGCGTCCGGTCCCCCTGGACCCTGGACACGGCACCAAGAGTCAGGGCTTCTTTTGGGCCTTGTGGAGATCTTCCTTCAGAGCAGGGGGGCTGTCTGGGTGGCCTAGCCTGAGAGACGGCCAGGGTGGTCCCAGAAAGAGGCTCTGCCAGGGAGGAGAGGGCCTTAAGGCTGCTTGTCTGGCTTAGGGGTGGAATTTGGGGGTCTAGATCTAGGATTTTTAGGGTGGGACTAGGCTGAGGGCTGAGGCTGAGGAGTGACCATGCGGAAGAGTCCTGTGGTTGGCTGTTGTTTCCCTAGGTGGTAAGTCCCAGGAGCCCATGGAATGAGGGAAGTGGCTCAGAATGAGAAGTGAAGTGGCTCTCTCAGTTCCTCTGGGCAGTATGCATGACCTGAGAGGACACACACATGCTATGTGGCCTTCTCTCCAACCTGTGTACCTGGATGGCCCTTTCTCCTTCCCAAGGTGGGGGCTCTTCCTATTCCCTGGATCCTGGTTTGTAAGGGCAGGAATGTCACAAACTTAGTCATCAGGCACTGGCAAGTCAGAAACAGTCCCAGGCTGCTGTTAGCCTGGGTAGGTGATGGGGCTGTCATGCCATAAACAAACACACCAAATTGTGATTCCATGTTGCCTTCCACAGCCCCTTTACCTGCTTAGACGGAGATACTCTTCTAGTGTGGAAAGAAACTCAGCAAACCACCATTAATTCCCTTTGCCCTCTGGTAATTGTCCAGGGGTCACCACAAAACCCCCTCCTATTTTAGAAACTTCTTAAAACCAAAACTCCAACCTTGGTTTAGCCTGCTTGCATCTCACCCTCCCATCTTGGGGACTGCCTTCAGGAGGGGCAGGCCTTCTAGAATGGGGTGAGATGCCCTCCCCCTCTGGGCATGAGATGAGGTGCAGGTGGGGAAGAGATAACAAAATTCACTCTTGAATAACTGCTGTCATAAACAGGCAGAAACCTAAAGTTTATTTTTTCTCCAGTGGGCATGGGATGACCCTTGGGAGGCCCTCCCCTTGGAACTGGGGACACCCTCACATCTCTCTATTCAGGAGGTTACCTGCAATGACAGTATTCTTCAGCCCTTTATAAACACTTTGGTGTTTCTGTGGCTTTGGACCCTGCATTTCTCTCTTTCTTATTGGCCCACTCCAGATCCTAGAAATGACCCACCGGTGCTCTGGGAGAGCAGGCGTCCCCAGCGCTTCATCTGCTATACCCATGGCCTCAGGGATCAATCACATCCCCTCCCCAGTAGGGCTAAAACCACTCTCTGGGCCTCAAGTCAGAGATCAGGTACTCTGGCCCTCCCTTAGGAGCGAAGGGCGTAGAACACATAACTTTCATCAAAATTGGCTTCTTCACAAAATCTTTCCTTGTAGCCTAATTGACTTTGATCACCTTTCTTTGGTTATTTCCTTTACAGATTTTGGGTTTGGTTGGTTTAATATGCAGCAACTATCATGTCTTGTTGGAAACTTCAGTTGCAATATTTTAATATATATGCACATATACATACACACACACACACACACACACACGTTGTGTGTGTGTGTGTGTGTGTGTGTGTGTGTGTGTGTGTGTTCCTGGAGACTGAGCCCAGGGCCTTTGTGTCGAACTATATCCCCATCCTTTTTCAAAAAATTTTGAGACAAGCTCTTGCTAAGCCACCAAGTTGCCTAGACTGGATTCAAACTTACAGTCTTGGGCTGGGGATTTAGCTCAGGGGCATAAGCGCCTGCCTTGCAAGTGTGTGGTTGTAAGTTTGATCCCTGGTACTGATAAAAAAAGCAAAAGACAAAAAACAAAACAAAACAAAAAAAACCAAACTTACAGTCTTCCTGTGTGAACCTACTGGGGTGCTGGGGTTATGTGTGTACACCATCACATTCAGAATAATCATTATTATTAAAATAAAAGTTAGCCTATGTGTTGTGTCAGTAGAACAGGAATTTGGAAGCTGAGGACGTTTATTTGTTTGCTCTTTTGGTAAACCCTGAGCTCAGGCACCAAGCACCAAGTTCCTAGCCTAGCTTAATATCCTTAGTCCATCAGCTCCCAGGGATTTCCTGAATTTGCTTCTAGCCTGTGACTCCCCAACCCTCATCCCTGCCATAAACCAAGACTGTTACAGCACATTTTCCAGAAGGCTTTCCCAAAGGAGTGAAGCATGGGTTGGCCCATGTTTCAGGTCAAAAAAATTTGGCTGTTTCAGTTTGGAGGTGGGAAGGCAGTTGGTGATTCTATGGGACAGCTGAGCAGAAGGGCGGTGGCATTCACAGAGGGCGGACAGGTCATAGCTAGATTGTGCAGGCCTTTGGCTGTGGGTACAGGAGTTTGGGCTCTTGGTTTTGGCTGCATCAAGCTCTCTAAGTGACAGCACAGGGCTTTGGGCAGAGAACTTCCATCCCTTTGATGAAGCCAGGACCTCTGGAAACTTCTATTTGGGATTAGAAGGAAAACTTCTCCAGAGATGGCATCTTCTTCAGAGATGCCATCTCCAATCCTCAATCTATTCTAGCTCTTATTTCTAGAGAACAAAGGGAAATGGCTTCAGATTCCTGGGACAGGCAATGAGCTCTGAAGCTGCTGGTGTGGGCCAGGGAAGCCTGGCCTAAGGGCCCAGATAGCTGACCCCTTTTCTCTTCAGGAAACTGCAATAGCCTCCCCAGTTATCCTCCGCGTGGATCCCAAGGGCTACTACTTATACTGGACCTATCAGAGCAAGGTGAGACGGGTGGCTCCTACCTACCATGGCCTTGAACTCTTGCTCACCCTGAGCCCAGCCAGAGTCCTAACAGTTAGGGGGAGGTGCAGATGCTGGGGAATGGAGAGAGGCCAGGGAGGGTGGCACTGGAGCACTCTGTAGGGACTGTACTGTGCTCTGGGAGGGAGGTTGTGGTCACTCCAATAAGTTGGAATCCAGGTGCTGTAGCTGAGTCATCCTTTGGAGAGAGAGAGAAAGCACAAAGCTACGGCTGAAGGGTAGTGCTCTGACTGCAGCTCTGGGTTACTTGAAGGCTTAGAGATACAAGACCTCAGCAGCTGGGGAGAAGGAAGCTGGAGAGATTCTAAAATGATAGAGGGGTGACTTCACGCCCCAGCTTCTGCAGAATAGACCAAGAAGGGAGGACACCCCCCCACACACACAACCATGAGAGACTCTGATTGGTGGGAAGGGAAAGGTAGGGGCCGGGTGGTGCTACGCAGTTTTGGCATCTAGACAGAACAGTTGGCCGAGGTATGAAGGGATGTGAAGCTCTCTGCTCTCTGTGGCCTAAGCTTTTTGCATCCCTTCCAGGAGATAGAGTTTCTGGATATCACTAATATCCGGGATACACGTTTTGGGAAGTTTGCCAAGATTCCCAAGGTAGGTGGGCCCAGGAAGCAGTCTAAGTTCAGAACAGCTACCATCTCCCTGGGGCGAGGAGTTCTTGTGGAGTGAGAAGCTTGACCTCTAGAACAGGGGCATGGTTTTCGGTCTGGGCAGCAAGGGTCCCATTGTCCTGGGTTTGCTCAAGCTCACTTGGCCTCTGAGCTTTGGAACTGGGTGCAATGAGCTGAGCTGGAGAGGGTATGGGAGGACAGGCCAGCTCCTGCCCTTAGAGCATCCCATGCCATCTGAATGGTATGGCTTATCCCCCTAACCTAACTGGTTTGACTATATTTGCCTAAGGCTGTAGGAAAATTGGAGGAAGGGATTAGGTGGAAGCAGGGTTCTCTGAGCCTAGAAGCTAAGAATTCATCTTCAAACAAAAATGGCAAGTAAAATACACAGCAGGCCCTACACCTTAGCTCATCTCTTCCTGAGGTTCTCTCCATCCTGTCCCAGATGCTAGAGCCAGGGCTGGGGAATGCTAAGGTCTGGCTCAAGGACAGGGATGTGATTCTGCTGTGGAAGGGAGGGGTGGACTATAGCTTGAGTGACTGGGGGCAGAGGGACAGAGAATACCTCTTTGGGCAAGATGAGAGAACATCTGTGACCCTTACCATGTCACACGAGCTGCAGAGTCAGAAGCTCCGCGAGGTCTTCAACATGGACTTTCCAGACAACCACTTTCTGCTGAAGACATTCACAGTGGTGTCCGGCCCTGACATGGTGGACCTCACCTTCCACAACTTTGTCTCCTATAAGGAGAATGTGGGCAAGGTGTGTGGGGAACACCTGATTCGGGTCTTCGCAGTGGGAATGGCCAGGACTTCCTGAGAGCCGAGCCTGAGCTGCAGGGCGCTGTGGGCACCCTTGTGGTCAGAGGCTGGACCACTGAGTTTTGTGGTCCTGCAGGACTGGGCTGAAGATGTATTGGCCCTGGCCAAGCATCCGCTGACAACCAACGCCCCTCGCAGCACCTTCCTGGACAAGATGTAAGTGCCTGCCTGCCTGGCCTTAGCCTGGAGGTCTGGGAATGTCAGCCCCTAGCCCTGACTCAGGGCTGCTTTCTGCCCCTACAGCTTGGTGAAGCTCAAGATGCATCTTAATCCCGAGGGCAAGATTCCTGTGAAGAAGTGAGTCTCTGGACTGCCCCTTGTGCTTCCCCAAGCTCCCACCTCCTTCCCTCCACACCCATGGCTCCGCTCTGCCTGGTGCCTTTCTCTTTCCTTCAGTTTTTTCCAGATGTTTCCGGCTGACCGGAAGCGGGTAGAAGCTGCTCTCACTGCCTGTCACCTTCCAAAAGGCAAGGTGAGTGGTTCCCCACCGCAGCTATACACAAGGTTCTCACTCCCACCAGACGGTAACTCGGCCAGGTATGAGAGGAGGTGACAAAGGCCAGAATGACATCAGTCCCATCAACAGTCTGGGCAGCCACTGGCCACTGAACCTGGCACAGAAGCAGACAAGGGTGAGGATTCGGAGCAGGTGGCAATGTGAGCGAGAGCAGTGGTTGGCACGTGGTATTCAGCGCCAGCCACAGAAATAGCTTGCGTTCCCATCCGAGCCTTGGGAACGGAGGTGAGAGTGAGTGGAGGGCTGTAAGGATCTGATGGCTGCAGGAAGGAATGAGTTCCGCAGGGTATGAGGGAGAAGAACAGACCCAGAGTAGAAGCTGCCAGGACGCAGACTTCAGCTCAGCACAGAAAAGCAGTTTCCTGTTTCATTTTAATTAAGCAATTAATTTTTAATTATGAGTTGTCAGCAGGGTCACCCCATGAGGTGCCTTATGTGAATTACCAAAAAGGATCTCTCTGGGGTGGTTAGGGGCCTGAGCCAGGTTCTAAACCTGGCCAGACGAGCAGATCACAGGCCTGTGTGCCCCTGGGCCAGTGCCCTTGTGTAGGTCACGGCTGCACCCCAGAGAGTATGTTCCCCTGGCAAGAGTTTAGAACATTGTAAATAAATAAAATTAAGACCCTACTGGTTATCTGTTATTATGAATTCCAGGAGGAATTTTCCTCTCACAGTCACATTGGTGACCCAAGAGTAGTCAGTCACACTGGAGTCAAGCACAGGATACGGGGGGATGGGGAGGGACCTGCGGTCTGTAGGGACCCCACTGCTCGCCTGCTGTTAGTACACACCACCTTCCTTTTCTTTTGGTCCCTGAAGAGGCTGCCTATTTATCTTCACTTGGTGGTGCAGCTGCCGGGGCAGAGATGGGCTTAGGGAGACCCAGCAAGACTCTCTTGCTCAGACATTTTGCAAGCTAAGACCAGAGTTGGCCAGCGCTGGCCTTCCAGTATGGTCCTGAAAGGGGAGCACGATGCAAAAGCGCATCATTCCTGGACATCACCAATCTATTTCCTGTTTCTATTTATAACTTGTCTACTCCGAACATTTAGGTGAATGGACTCACACACAATTTATGTGGTCTTTCACATCAGGCTTTATTTAATTAACATGCAGTTTCCCAAGCTCATTCATGCAGTATCTATTGGCACTTCATTCCCTTTTACTATAGAATCATATTCCATAGCATGGATATGACATGTTTTGTTTGCCTATTATCCGTTGAGGGATATTTGGATTTTTCTCTTTTTGGCTATGATAAATAACACTGCTACTAATGTACACTATCAGACTTGTGTACATTATTTTGTGTGAATATGTTTTCAGTTCCCTTGGGTATACACATGCCAGTGAAATTGTTGGGTCATATAACTCTTATTTAACATTTTAAAGAGCTGCCATATTGTTATCTCGAGTGACTGTACCATTTTACAATCCCACCAGCACTGTATGAGAGCTCTGGTTTCTCCACAGACCCCCAAAGTTACTGTCTTTTAAACATCCTAATGGGAGTGAAGTAGTATCTCAGTGTGGGCTCTTTTGTTTGTTTGTTTTGGTTTTTGATGTTGGGATGTTAATGAGACTGTTGCTGGTGGCTGTGTTGCCCAGGCTGATCTTGAACTTGTGGGTTTATGTGAGTCTCCTAAGTAGCTGGGACTCTAGCTGTGAGCCACCATCCCGCTCCATTGTGGTTCTGATTTACATTTCTCTAATGACTAATGATGTCGGCATCTCTTCATGTGCTTACTGGTCATTTTTATACCTTTTTGAGGAAATAAGCATTCAAATTTATGTTCCATCTTGCCATTGGGTTGTGTTTTTATTGTTAGGTTGTGTTTTTATTTCCCCTTTATCAATACCTGATATGTAAATATTTTATCCCATTCTTACGGGTTGTTTTTTCTTTTCTTGATGGTGTCCTTGGCAGCGTAAAAATTTTCAATTTTGATTAAGTTTGTTGGCTTCTTTCTTTCTGTCTGTCCCTTGTGCTTTGGCTGTTTCTCTTATTACTGTGGTGTTATTTCAGTACTGGTGATCAAACCCAGTAGCACTGTACTGCTGAGCCCTAATTATTACTGCTGGATTGTCGCTGTTTGCTTCAGGCAATTCAGGATTCTGTTATTAGGTACATATATATTTATAGTCAAGTTGCCATTTTTTTTAGTGTGTGTGGACGCTGTCCTTTCCTAAAAAAGAAACAAAGTAGCCTATTTCCCTGGCAAGCTGCACCCCTAACTTCTGACATCTCTACTTCCTCATCTGGGTCCTTCTTACTTCCAATCCTCTTCTTGCTGAAGGATTCACCATCAAAACAAATCAGCTAGGGGCTGGGGATTTAGCTCAGCAGCATAAGCACCTGCCTTGCAAGCATGAGGTCGTGAGTTCGCTCCCTGGTACCGATAAAAAAGTTAAAAAAAAAAATTAGCTCAGAGTTTTCTTGATCAGAGGTCAGGACTTTGATAAGTGGATGTCATCTATCTGGCTGCCTTGAGCACTGTCTTTGATCAAGTGCCATTGCTAGAGCTCCTAGGCTGTGGGTCTTAGCTCTGAGCAGTTGGGGGCAGAGGTGACAAGGTGACTATTTCCCCAGAATGATGCTATCAATCCTGAGGATCTCCCAGAATCTGTCTTCAAGAGCTTCCTCATGAATCTCTGTCCTCGGCCAGAAATAGATGAGATCTTCACTTCCTAGTGAGCTTCCTGGGCTGGGCTGAGCTGGGCTGGATATTGGTATTGGGGTCGGCTGGCAATTCCCTCCTCCTGCCTGCCCTTCTGGGTATCCAGAGAAAAGGGGTGTCTAAGCCCTCAGATCAAGAGATGAACCTGTGTTCCTTTCTCTGCCCTGCAGCCATGCGAAGGCCAAACCCTACATGACCAAGGAGCACCTGACCAAATTCATCAACCAGAAGCAGCGAGACTCACGGCTTAACTCCTTGCTTTTCCCACCAGCACGACCTGACCAGGTCCAGGGCCTCATCGACAAGTACGAGCCCAGCGTCATCAACATGCAGAGGGGTGAGGACTCACAGAACCTCTCACCACCCTGGTCCTGTTCTGTCTTGGCAGCGGGGCTACAGCTTTGACACTCATCCCTTGTCCCTCAGGCCAGCTGTCCCCTGAGGGCATGGTCTGGTTTCTCTGCGGCCCAGAGAACAGCGTGCTGGCCCACGACAAACTGCTGCTCCACCACGACATGACACAGCCACTCAATCACTACTTTATCAACTCCTCCCACAACACCTACCTAACAGGTGGGCGCTGGCAGCCTCACTGCTAACCTCTCTGGCCAGGGATGCTCCCGGGGGTGTTGCCCGATGCTGCTAACCCTGCTAACCGACAGACTGTGCTGGGGTGGGCCTGGCCTGCCCTTGAGTGATGCCTCTGCCCCTTCGGTGTCCTGGCCCAGCTGGCCAGTTCTCAGGCCTGTCCTCGGCTGAGATGTACCGTCAGGTGCTGCTCTCTGGCTGCCGTTGTGTGGAGCTGGACTGCTGGAAGGGGAAGCCCCCCGATGAGGAGCCCATTATCACCCATGGCTTCACCATGACCACTGACATCTTGTTCAAAGTGAGCATGGCTGGATGATGGCACTGACAATAGGAAAAGCCCTGGGCCAAAAGCTCTTTAGCTGAGGGGGGTGAACCACCAGGGGAGGGATATCTGGAATGCCTCAGAGCAGTGAGGGGACTGGATGGAGTAGGAGTTGTCAATCAGGGCCACACATGCATGTACACCGAATCTGGGGTATGGGGACAAGTCCCTGGGGGAGAGGTGGGGAACCTTGATCTTTCTACTGAGCCCTTTCTCCTCCAGGAAGCAATCGAAGCAATTGCAGAAAGTGCCTTTAAGACTTCCCCCTATCCTGTCATCCTGTCATTCGAAAACCATGTGGACTCGTGCGTATCCCGCCCCATTCAATTCTTTATGACCCCCACTGCTACCTGCAGCTGTCCCACCCCTCCAGCTGTCCCAACCTCTAGCCATCTATCCATCTAACTCTTACTCTATTCTCAACACAGGTTCTTTGGACCTGTGTCCCTGCCTCCTCCAGTCCCTGGGTCCCTGATCTGGTCATCAACACATAAAGCAATGAGCAAGAGGATTGAGGCTGAGCTGCTGAACCCCACACTTACTCTGCCCCCCACAGGCCCCGCCAGCAGGCTAAGATGGCTGAGTACTGCCGGATGATGTTTGGGGATACGCTGCTCACAGAGCCCCTGGAAAAGTTCCCAGTGAGTAGGCTTGGCCATGGGGCACCCAGGCCCGGGGAGTTCAGGGGACATCCAGCAAGTGAGGAGGAGATAGTGCCCACCCTCTCCCCTCTCTGCAGTTGAAACCAGGCATCCCTCTGCCCAGCCCTTCCGACCTTCTGGGCAAGATACTGATCAAGAACAAAAAGAACCAGTTTTCTGGTCCAGCAGCCCCCAGCAAGGAGCCTGGTGGAGATAGTGAGGGCAGCTCTCTGCCCAGTGGCCTCACTGGGGAGGACACAGGTAAGTCACCAGGAAGAGTCAGGTGGGGGCTGGGAGGCCGCTGGACCAGGAGAAGCACGGGTGAGGGAAGCTTTGGGGGCCTGCTGACAGTTATGTGTGGCAGTGTGGGCTGCTGAGGAAGGGGCTGAGCCGGAGGAGCAGGAGGAGGTAGAAGAGGAAGAGGATGAGGAGTCGGGAAACCTCGATGAAGAAGAGATGAAGAAGATGCAGTCTGATGAGGTGCATGGTGGTGGTGGGGTCATAAGGCTCCTATGCAGAGCCCTCCTGGTGAGGAGAGGGGCCACCGTTTGGGCTCTATCCTATCTTCCCTTCTAATCTCCCTGCTTTTCCCTAGGGTACAGCAGGCCTGGAGGTGACGGCTTACGAGGAGATGTCCAGCCTAGTCAATTATATCCAGCCCACCAAGTTCGTCTCCTTTGAACTCTCTGCCCGTAAGTTAGTATGAGGCGGGGTGGAGGGGTGAGGGGGGCAGAGGGTGGCTCAGGAGCAGAGATCCTCATGCCAGAGCAGGCTGATGGGGGAGTAAGGGAATGGGAGCTTTCCTTCCCTTGGACCTGGGGCACTGTCTATAAATACCCAGCCACGGAGTCAGACAAAGGACTGTTTAAGTGGCAGTGGCTCCCAGTTTCCAGCACTGTGCTGAGGAATTTGGCAACAAACAGAGAGCCCTGGAGTGTGTCTGTGACAGGCAGGTCATGATGCTACTCAGCCTAGCCTGCCTGGGGGTCCTGTGGTTTCCTACAGGTTCTCTGGCTGCCCAGACTGAACTGTACCTAGGGCCTATGCAACCCCTCCCCCTTTGGCACCCCCCTACTTTCCTTGATCTTAGGACACATATGTTCTGTCTCCCCCTGTTACATGGCCCTGATAAAACTGCTCTTTCTGAATACTCCTGCACACAGCTAGGCCTCTGGAACACTGACTTCTTACCCATGAAGCACAGTCTGCACCCCACCCAGGCACACTCACCACCTGTAAACCCTTAGCATACACCACTCCCTCCGTGTACCAGGCCATCATTTGCACGCCTTGCTCCCTGGCCACGTCCCAGCACACGCTCACACTCTGTGTGTGTGTAGCACACTCCTGATCCGCAGGGCTCCATAGCCTCTGTGCCTCTCTGTTGCAGGCAGCACATGTTCGATGTCCTAGCATGTCCACTGTCGCCACACATTTCCTCCAGAGGTCAGCCCCAGCCCCCCAGGGATCAGGGGAAGTGCTGGGTTAGGGGAATCTCTAGTGGAGGGAGCCGCCTTAGAGAGGGGCAGGGCTGAGGGAGGTACAGCCTGATACAGATCCCTCCTCTCCACACAGAGAAGAACCGGAGTTATGTTATCTCCTCCTTCACCGAGCTGAAGGCTTATGACCTTCTCTCCAAAGCCTCCGTGCAGTTTGTGGAGTATCCTTGAGACTTCGATAGCCAGGGTCCCTGGCTGCGGTGGGCACTGGGGCAAGGTCTGGGGACAGGGATCTCTCGGTAGGCTGTTGGGTCCTCCTGGTGAAGATGGCCCTGGCCAGGCTCCTATACTCAGCGACAGCTACAACAAACGCCAGATGAGCCGCATTTACCCCAAGGGCACTCGCATGGACTCCTCCAACTACATGCCCCAGATGTTTTGGAATGCTGGATGCCAGATGGTTGCCCTCAACTTCCAGACAATGGGTGAGGGCACTCCCAGGTCCTGAGATCCCGCCTCTGGGTCTGCCTGTTCTACCTTTGCCCTTCCCTGGGGGTCCTAGTGTTTGTTCTGGCTCTGGGAGCGCTTGGGGAGGGGCAAGTGCCCTGACTCGTGCTTCCACGGTGGCGCTTATATGAACACGAAGGTCCAGGATCTGGGAGGATGGCACAGGGCCTGGCTGCTCTGCCAACGTGTGTCTGCGGGAACCCCACTGTGCATGGACAGGCTGCCCCTGACTCCTTGCTGACCTCTTCTGAGAGAGGCAAAGCTGAGGAGCTAGGCTGGGACACAAGAGACCTTTGCCTCCATGGCCCACACAATTCCCTGTTGGCCAGGACAAGGGAGGCTGGGATGGGTAGGAAATAGAGGCTGAGGACAGACCCGGGACAGTCCTTCCTCACTGTCTGCCCACCCCTAGACCTGCCCATGCAGCAGAACATGGCACTGTTTGAGTTCAACGGACAGAGCGGCTACCTCCTCAAGCATGAGTTCATGCGCCGGCCAGACAAACAGTTCAACCCCTTCTCTGTGGATCGCATTGATGTGGTGGTAGCCACCACCCTTTCCATTACGGCAAGGCCTGAGGACAAGTGGTGGGCGGGAGAGGTCTGGGGTCTTGAGGAGAAAGGTCCAGAAGCCCACCCCTCTATCCCATCCCCCTCCTCTGCTAGCCCAACTTCAGCCCCAGCTTGCTCTCTCATGCAGTCACAAGTTGCCTTGGAAACTGCCTCCTCCTCAGCACTGGAGGCTGCTTCTTGGTCCCCATGGAAACCAAGGGGAAGGGCTGAAGCTGGGGTGGGGGAGGGGAGAGGGAGTGGGCAGAGTGGGACGGCAGAAGCTCAGGCCCAGGGAGAGGCAATGCTCCCTTCTTGGCTGGGGAGGGGGTAGGGCAGCCCTTCCCTGGTCCTCAGAGCTTAGTTACAGCCCTTGAGACCCATGGTCTCCCCTGGTGGCCAGAGCTGAATGGGGTTTTTCATGATACCCAACAATGGATGCTTCAGCTGTAGGGAGCTGCTCAGAGAAGAGCCTGAGATGGGTCTGACACTGGACTCCCTGGTCCCCACCCCAGGTGATCTCTGGGCAGTTCCTGTCAGAGCGCAGTGTGCGCACCTATGTGGAAGTGGAACTGTTTGGGCTTCCAGGGGATCCCAAGAGGCGCTATCGCACTAAGCTGTCACCCAGTCCCAACTCCATCAATCCTGTCTGGAAGGAGGAGCCCTTCGTCTTTGAGAAGGTGTGGGACTGGGGCAGGGCAGGGGCTGGGTCTCTTTACAGGTAAGAGGAAACAAATAAAGGGGACTGTATCATCTTTCTCCTCCTCTCCCCATTCCCCAGCAACGCCCTCAGTTTACAGAGTCTCAAATGTAACTATACTGACATTTGCTGGGTGGGCAGGTTGTGTGTTTGTGTGAGTGTATGTCTGTGTGTGTGTGTGTGTGTGTGTGTGTGTGTGTGTTTGTGTGAGTATATGTCTGTGTGTGTGAGTATATGTCTGTGTGTGTGTGTGTGTGAGTATATGTCTGTGTGTGTGTGTGTGTGTGTGTGTGTGTGTGTGTGTGTGTGCGCATGTGTTAGGATCAGAGGCTGAAATGTGAACTCCTGGACCAGGACTAAGGGTCCCATGGGATCAAGAGGGTCTGGTGCCCCACTGGATCCTGCCAAGGGCTGTCTTCATCTGCTCTTTTCTTCCAAGTGAGACCAGCCATAGCTCAGCTATGAGGACATCTTATACATAGTCTAGGTCTGTCCTCTGCCTGTCTTCACTGAATCTAGTAACACACGCCAAGTTCTCTCCCCGGCACTGACTGCAGAAAAGGGTTCTTTCACCCTTTCCCACATCCCACCCCAGACTGTGCTGTCCTAAACTCTCCCCAGATCTTGGTTCCTGAGCTGGCCTCCCTCAGAGTGGCTGTTATGGAAGAAGGCAACAAATTTCTTGGACACCGCATCATCCCCATCAATGCCCTAAACTCTGGTATGGAGAGGGACCCTTCTTCACTGTACCCGACGGCTCTGTGACCAAGACCAGCATGGGGGGGCCAGTGCCAGAGAGGGTCCCCATGAACTCATTTTAACCCCCTGTGTTCTTGGCCTTAAGGCGAGGGCAGGACTGGAGTCTCCAGGACCCTGACAGAGGCAATGACTGCCCACCTACCAGGATGCCCATGATTTTCTGGAACCACTGGCTTCCTTTCCCAAGCAGTTGGTACCTATGTGTGAAGGCCTCATGGACCCATTCTCTCTTGACCCTTATGGTAACCACAGGAGGCATTCACAATCCCTATTTCATACATGAGGGGTCTCAGAAGTTAAAGGAACTGGCAGGCATGGTGGCACATGCCTATAATCCCAGCACTTGGGAGGCTGAGGCAAGAGGATCACGTGAGTTTGAGGGCAGCCTGGGCTACAGAGTGAAGCCCTGTCTCAAAAACCAAAACCAAAACCAAAACAAAACCGAAACTAAAACCAAAACCGGAACTGGGACCGGAACCAGAACCAGAACCAAAAATGACTTAAAGTAACTGCTTGAGGTCATGCATCGAGGTGTTATACCAGACTCCGACCCTACCCTCTCCAATGCTAAGCTAGATCTTGCATGCAGGGCTGGGTAGGAGTGGGCTCTGGCCGACCCCCGCACTGCCATGTTTCCAGGGTACCACCATCTGTGCCTGCACAGTGAGAGCAACATGGCCCTCACCATGCCTGCACTCTTCGTCTTTCTGGAGATGAAGGACTATGTACCTGACACCTGGGCAGGTAGGGGCCTGTGGCACACTAGAAGCCCAGGCTGTCCACTCCCCAGACCTCTTCTTGAGCCCCCCTACAGATCCCAGGGTGGGCAAGGACGATGGACCCTTCCAGGTCCATCTCCATGCCTACCAGGTTGGTGATGCCGTATTCCAGATCTCACTGTGGCCCTCGCCAACCCTATCAAGTACTTCAACGCTCACGATAAGAAATCCATGAAGCTCAAGGAGGCTATGGGAGGAGGTCTTTCTGAGGTCTGTACTGCCTGAGCCTTTGCTGGGCACTGCAGCAGCTTTGCCCTCTGTGTGAGAGGATGGAGACCAGGGCAGAGCCCCAGTTTAGGGAGAGGGGCAGTCAGACCCACCTTCTAACCCCTCTCCTTGCACAGAAGCCCTTCCCACTTGGGGGTCCAGTTGCCTGTCAGGTGAATGGGGCACCAGCGCCTGCAAGCAATGGGTCCAAAGGTAGGCACTTTGGGGTCCACCCATTTGGGGAAGGGGGCTCCACCTCTGCCAGCTTATCCCTATGTCCAAAGGATGAAGACTTTCATCTGAGGGAAGGGCTGTCTGAAGCCTCAAGACTAGGAAAGTACACTGCAGGGGGTCCATTTTGAGGCCCTTGGGGAGTGGGGACCCCAACTGAGCTTCAGGCCCCAGAATACCCACTAGCCCATCCTGTCCTCCTGCAGCAGCAGGGGCCAAGCCCAGGGCAGAAGCCATGATAGAAGCTGCAGGTAAGGCCAGCCTAGTGGTCTCGGGTGTGTAGCTAGGGAGAGCCCTCGGCTCCTGGGCGCTTGCCAGGGAGGGGAGCCTGGGCTAGGCAGCAGCGTGCCTCAGCCTGTCCTCTGCAGAGCCCAAGACAGCCAGTGTGGAGGAGCTGCGTGAGCTGAAAGGTATCGTCAAGCTGCAGCGGCGGCATGAGAAGGAGCTGCGGGAGCTGGAGCGGCGCGGGGCGCGGCGGCGGGAGGAGCTGCTGCAGCGGGGAACCGCGCAGCTGACAGAGCTGTGGACACAGACACCAGGCCACAAGCTCTACCCGGGCAAGGGTTCCCGAAAGAAGAGGTAAGGGGTGCAGTGGCAACCTGCCCTCCAAGCACCACAGCCTGGGACTCAGGGCCTGTCCCCGTGTGGCACTGCAGGACCCTGCCTGTGGAAGACACCACCGAGACTGTGCCAGGCAAGAGCCTTGAAGGCATGGACCCACGCATACAGGAGCTCAGGGAGTGGCTAGAGCAGGAGCTGCAGCAGCAGGGCAAGGAGCAGCACCGGAGCATCCTGAAGTGCAAGGAACAGCACGTGGCCGAGGTGCCAGCCTAACCAGCTCCACCCCCTCCACACCGCCGAGGGCTTCTCACTGAACTCCTCCTTTCTCCCCTCATGCAGCAAATCTCCAAGATGATGGAGCTGGCCAGAGAGAAACAGGCCTCAGAACTGAAGGCCCTCAAGGAGACCTTAGAGAGGTAAGGCTGACCCTTCGCCCACCCTGTCCCTGTTCCTCAGCAAGGGCTCAGTTCCTCAGAACAGCTGCCCCATGCCTATGCTCCCGCAGTGACACCAAAGAACTGAAGAAAAGGCTGGAGAGCAAGAGGCAGGAGCGGGTCCAGGCCATCACCAAAACCACCATGGACAAGATGGCGCAGGAAAGGTGAGCCCTGGAGGGACGGCCCTGTGCCAAGCGGGCCCCACTCTGGAGGAAAAGGGCCTCTCTCCCAATGGGTCCTGACTCACTTCCCAGAGGTTTGTCACCGCTTTGGCCCTTGAGCAGCTGATTCTACTTCTATCACCTCTGATCACAGAGCATCCTGTGGAGGAGGGAAGATAAACACAAAGAGAGCAAAGCGCCAGCAGCCTGTCCGCTGACCCCTACCTCTGTTCCAACCTGGAAGGACAGTGTGGCTTAGTGAGGGAGCTGTCCCCTCAGAGAGTCTTAGGACTCCCAGTGGCCACCTCCGTCCTCCTTGGTATCTTGTGCTAGCCTCTCTGCAAGTTCCTGGGCCTATGATGGAGCTCCCATCTGTCTACACCTGGGGGAGACTTTATCCCATCCCTCGGGAGGGGCCTCCTGTTCTTCTAAAACTCGGGTTATATCTACAGGTTGAAGAGAGAGATTAACAACTCCCACATCCAGGAAGTGGTGCAGGCCATCAAGCAGGTGTGTAAATGTTGTGCCCTTCCCAAACACACTTTCTTCGTGGTGGGAAAGCTCATGGGTGGGAAAGGAGGCCTTGGCCTTTCCTTTGTTCCTGAGATATGCAGTGTGCAGGGCTGTCCGTGCAGCCAGGGATGTGAGGGGGGACCCTGGGGTTCTGACTTATGTGTGGAGGCTGAAATACCATTTCAAGGGATGTGACTTAGGCCAGCTTCCCTGAGTGGAGACCAGGTGTGCCAGCTGGCCAGGGGTGAATGGGATTCAAGAGCATGGGAGGAGCCACGGGGTCAAAAGAGGAAGGCAAACCCCACTGAGAACACATGCTCCCCTGGGATCAGTGACCACAGAAATACAGGTGCCATCCACTGCATCTTGACCTCACTGCAGGTACTTCGTGTTAGCCTCCCATGTCACCACCACAATCTCCTTTTACAAATTGAAAACATCACCCAAAGCTTTGGATCTTGGTCCAAAGTCTTCCAGCTGGTTAATCAGGTTTTTAGCTGGATTCCAATTCCAGTGACCCAGAAGTGTGGGACATGCCATCCTGCCCCTCACATCCACCTAGATGCATGACTCCCTGCCCCTCATGTCCACCTAGATGACAGACACCCTGGAGCGACACCAGGAGAAACTGGAAGAGAAGCAAGCAGCCTGCCTGGAACAGATCCGTGAGACGGAAAAGCAGGTGACAGGAAGCTGTCCCAGCCCCGGTAGCTCTAGGGTGGAAAGGGGCTGCCAGTCAAGAAGGTCATCGAGGCCTTTCAAAGGAGGCAGCTCTGCAAGTCTCTACTTGCTCCCCGATACCCTGGTGGGCTCCACTACCCCACCTCCCACTCTGGTCTCCAGGGAGTCTGAATAGATGGGTATCCTCCTGTTCCAGTGTCCAGGGGAGGAAGGGGGCGTGGGCAGGGGACCCTTCCCGAGCTAGGTGTGCTCCTTGGTGTCCCCACAGTTCCAGCAGGAGGCTCTGGCAGAGTATGAGGCCAAGATGAAAGTTCTGGAGGCGGAGGTAAAGGAGGCAGTGAGCGCTTGCTTCCCCTCTGAGGCCGAGGAAGCCTCCAGGGAGCCCTGTGAGCAGGACCTGCTCACAGCCAAGGAAGACACTGAAGAGAGCCGTCTCTGATCCCCATCCCACTGGGACACTTAACAAGGATGCTCAGACCCTTCTCTAGGACACGGCTCTATCTCCTGGGAGGGAAGAACTTCAGCATCTGAGGCTCTGGAAGCTGCAGCTCCATCCACACTGCACAGCCTGGCTAGAGGCGAGAGGCAGGAATCAGATGCAGCCAGGCAGGGACCCCTCTGGGGCATATAACCTTCTCCAAGCTGACCGCCTGATGCCCGTCCTTCTCCCAGCCTCTGGCTAAGTATATATTTGTTGAGGGCAAAAGAATACGGACTGGTTATAGGAAATGGCGTCCTGGCCCTGCTCCATTTTCCTAGCGTGCAACCAGTGACACCTGCCCGGAGTTCAGCTGCCTCACCCAGAGGGGGCCAACACCTGGAACCTCTGATTTTGCACTCATGGTTCAAGGAAGACCAAGCCTCTGGCCCTCCTGCCCTGATCTGACACCTCAGCAGGTTTGCAGGCCACCTCCCGAGAGCTTGCCCTGAGCACGAAGATGTTATCAGCTTCTGCTGTGCAGGTTGGAAGCTGAGGTGGAAGAGTTCCTGGGCTGATTGGCCGATTGGCCCCGGAGGATCAGGAGCGGGGCATGTAGGACTGGGGCTGGTGGGGAGGGGAGGAGGCTGGCCTCTTGGGACTTTCCACCCTGCATCTGGCACACCCTTTCCCTAGGCCCAGCGTGGATACTTGCTACTGTATATCCACTACTCAGACCGCCTGACAAGGTCAGCATCACTTTGTCTTCCGAGTTTATGAAGTTTATTTATTTTTTCTCCTTTCTACTCCTACTAAAAAGCCTGACCCAGTATTTCCTGCCTAAGCATGGCCTCTGTCTACAGCTAGGAAAAGGCGACAGTGGAGGAGAGTGCTTTGAAGTGAAGCTGGCTGGGGAAAAGACATTGGGGTTGAACTGGGGCTAAGATCCCTTCCCAAGCCCAGTGACATGGCCCTGCCTCTGGGAGTCACTTCCCCTTCTGCTGGCCCTGATGCCATAGCCACTGAAAAATGTCACTCCCTCTTCTCTGTCCCCACACAGATGTGGCTCTTCCTTGTCCCTGTCCTCAATCTGGAGCAAAAGAGCCTAGTGCCAAGGTGCCCCCACCTTCTTATTCCCTGCGCCTTCACCACAGCTTCAAACCCCACATGGGCCAAGCATTGGCTTGGGAAAGGAAGGGTGGGGCGATTCTGGGAAGAGCTGTTTTCTTTCAGGTGGTTACAGCAGATGTTATTAGCCGTGAGCACCTGTGCTTTCAGAAAATAGGGACCTCTAGGGTCCTACCAGTCCCTGGCTACAGTGTGAGCCTAGAGGACCTGCTCATTCACAGGACTAAGGCCTGTGCCCACCCTCTGCACATACTGGGTACTGCCTGGGTGGGACACCTATACCCCAGAGCAGCAGCCTGCCTAGCCAGGCAGCCAGGTATCCCATCTCTGTCTCCCTGCCCCAAACCCTGGGGTAGATGCCTGTAAGGATGATGGTCTAGGCCTAAGTCTCAGAGCCAGGAATGCGGGCAAAGGCCAGAGCCAGAGCCAGAGCCAAAGGAATCTGTATGCAGTGGCCCCAGCTGTGCCAGTGACTGCCTTCCCCTCATCTCTGCCAGGCTGGGTAGAGTGTGTGCTCCAGGCTGGTGCTAGGGCCCAGGAATCAGGGAGGGGATGCAATTCTGCCCCCTGGAGAGGACTGTGCACAAAATCCCCCGAGGCCAGGTCTGGATACCCAGCTTCCTGCTTGCTAGTTTCTGCAGAAAGGGCAAGGTGGCCCTAAGTAAATGCCATCTCTGGGCCCAGGAGACGAATTAACCTCTGGCCACAGGGGATGTGCCAAAGAAGAATTGATAACCCTCCCTAGGGCTCTGTTGTGTACCTACAGGGTGAGGTCAGGTTCCCTTTTCAGGGAGAAGGGTCCCTTTTTCTCTACTGATCCCATTGCTGCTGACTCACCCCACCTTCTGCACCCCCTAGTAGCTCTCTGGATCTCCCAGACACGTGCCATCAGGCCCAACCCTGCCAAGCTGGTGCATCGTGACAGGGTGAGAGGGCTGGTGACACTTGAAAAGGAAAGAGGGGCCTGGGAGGGGGACAGGTGCAGACAGAGTGACAAGACTTGCAGACTGCGGCGCTTCTGGCAGGAAGCACTTTTGCCCGCCTGGGGCCTGCAGGGGAGAAGCTGGACAGTGGGAGGGGAGGAGGAGTGCGGATTGCCTGCCTGCCTGCCCCCTGCCTGCCTCGGCTCCTTCTCCTGTCAGCCTTCAGTTCTAACGCGCGACAGCTTCTAATTCTGGCTGTTGGTGCCTCTGTGCTCTGCAGTCAAGACTCAGCTTTTTTCAGCTTTGCTATTTCTTTTTGTTCAGAACACAGTGAGCCCTTAGGGGAGAGAGTCAGAGCAAAGGCTCCCTGGCCTGAGACCTGGCCCTGCTGCCCACCCCACCCACCGCAAGCCTGCCTGGGTGGCCAGCTGGGACAAACAGAACCATCTGTTCTTCCAAAGGGGACCTGCCCTAGCCCCTGCTCTTTCCTGGAACTGCCTCTATCACCACAAGGAACAGGGGCATAAATGAAGCTGGGTTGGCTCAAGGACAAGAAGAGGGGCTGTTTAGGACAAGGCAGTCCCACTCTGGGTTTCTTCCGTTTCTTTCCTCCACCTGGAGGGTGCACAGCCTGGCCAGCCACAGACTCTAGGGGTACTCCTAACCCTGACCTGAAAGAAAGAGGAAAAATTTACCAAAAAACCAGTAAATTGAAGTTGGGTATGGTGGTGCACATCTGTAATCCCAGCTACTCAAGAGGCTGAGGCAGGAAGATCATACCTTTGAGAAAACCTGGGCAACCTAGTGAGACCCTGTCTCAAAATTTAAAAAAAGGCGGTGGATATAGCTCAGCGGTGGAGTGCTTGCCTACCAAATGCAAGGCCCTGGAGTTCAGTGCCCAGCACCATACACACACACACACACACACACACACACACACACACACACACACGGAGCGAGACAGAAACAGGAGACAGGGAGGGGGAGAGATAGAGATAGAGATAGAGATAGAGATAGAGATAGAGATAGAGATAGAGATAGAGATAGAGAGAAATTGAATCCTAAAGGGAAAAGCCTTTCCTCTGCTGAGTAAAGAGGAAGAGCAATCTTGCCACCCACACTGGGAATGGAAAAAGTCTCACCCTAGACCTGGAGTGAGAGAGAGCTTTGCAGGCCACACTCTAAATAACCATGCTGTGCTTTTCCTGATCTTGCCAGAGGAATAAGCCAGGCTGGTGTTAGCAGCTTCCTCTTTCAGATAACAATGTGCAGGCCTGGGGCCACACTGGTAGAACGTGACTGTAGGCTGGGACTTTGCTGTCACTTACTATTATACTGTTTCTAGACATCATGAAGAAAAAAATCGCAGCGCAAAAAGGGGCCTCACGTTGTTGGTTTACCTCATGTGCTCCCATGGCAGGAGTATGAACCCCTCTGCAGCCTTCCGGGCCTAGTCAAACATGGCATCCTTGGAGCCTAGGGGTGGAGCTCCACACCCCAGACATTTCCACAGAGGTATCTAGCAAAGCATGTTGAAGCTGAGGACACCTTCTTCCTCTGAATATCCTGTCTCTTATGGAATGGGACACAATGAGCCGCCCTCTACACTGCCCCCTACAGGCGATTTCCCGCGTTTAGAGGCAAACTTGCTCTTCTTGGCAACCAATCTCATCTTTGAAGGACTAACTGTGGTATCTTCAGCAGACCCCAGAGCCCTCCCCTGTCCACTGCCCCATCTCTCTTCCCCTTCTTGTTTTGTATGTAGCAAATGTATTCAACCCTAGGGTAATCAGCTGCATGTCTTATGTTCCGGGCATGTTCTGGTTTAGAGGGGAGGACTCTGCCATCCAGAAGCCAGCGACACCTCTGTATTTCCCCGGACAGGACCTGATGCTTGGTTCACTTCTTCAAAAATATCCATTCAAACCTTACTTGCCTCTTCTCTCGGAAGAGCCCCAGCTCCCCTCATTCAAAGCCCAAACATCCTCCCTTTCCAGGGCCACGCGGCCAGCAGGCTGAGATGAGATGCGGTGGTTATCTCACGCATCAAATGGAAATATGGATCTCCTGTTCGCTTCTCTCCAGGAGTCTGTTAGGGTCAGGGCCAGAGCCAGGTGGCCTTGAAGTGAGTTGGGGACGAAAGAGCCCAGGTCTTTGGGGGAATTCTTGCTTGCATTCCTCGCTCTTTCCGGAATAACAGTATGTCCTGAAAGAGTTGGGGGGCTGTGCAGCGAGTCCCACCGCGCAGGCAGTGGTCTCAGATCCTAAGGCGTCCTCCCTGGGTCGCTGCAGCCTCGGCGTCTGCCCCCGCCTGCTCCACAGCCACCGCCGCCTGGAGCGGCCCCCTGGCGCGTTGTCAAGGTTGGAGACGTCTGAGATTGAAGAGCGCACGCCCTCCCCGCTCCCAGCGAGTGTGTGCGGGAGGCACAATTGTGTGTGACTGCGTGATGCGCGACACTTCGGGTGGCAGTTCCCAGCCAGACCAAGCCCCCTCTCCACACCACGTGTGCATACTCCCTCAAATTACTCATCTGCTTTTCGCCACCCCATCCCCAGCTCGCCCCTGGTCCAGTTCTGTCCTTGTGGGGTCCCATTTCCTTTCACCTAGGGACAGCAGGAGGTGTCTCTGGGTTTTCCGGGATGAGCTCGAGGTCCTGCTAGTTTCTAAGGAGTCAAGGGCCGCGACTCATAGGAGGGCGGAGGGCGGGGAGAAAAGACTGCGACTCTGGGATTGGCCCGGCCAGGTGCATGTGGCCCCCGGGTGAGCAGCCCCCGCTCAACCGCCGCCGCATTCCCTGGGGGGCGCGGAGGAGGAGCCGCTCCCCAACTTCGTGGCCCACAGAGAAGTGGGGGACAGAGGCGGTCTCCTCCGCCCAGCAGGTCTCTGCCCTGACGGCTCAGCCTGCTTCCAGGGCACCATTGCCATGGAGACCCCCGAGGCTATAAAAGCAGGTCTCCGGGTGGACTGCAGCTGCCGCGCAGCTGAGCCCCCCAAGTAGGAAGCCAGCGCCCTGGCGGGGCCCAGCCCCCGCAGCAGGGAAGGAGGCGGGGGAACGGCGCCTGCAGCTCGAAGAGCGGCGCGCCCCGCCACGGGCTGGAGGCTGGCTCGCGCGGCTGGTGTCACCGTCTCAGCAGGGAGCAGGGGCTGCCCCGGGTGCGGGTGAGTGGCACGGCTCCAAGCCCCGAGAGACGGAGGGGCGCCAGACCTGGGGAAGCGTCCGGAGACTCAGGAGGGGGCCGGAGCTGGGGCTCCGGTGGTCTCCCGGCGGGCCGGAAGCGAAGCCTGGAGTAGCGAGCAGCCCACACCTCTAGGCAGGAGGCCCACGGAGGGAGTAGCTGACGCCAGCAGTGCAGCCCGAGAGAGGCACGGGAACCGGAGCCGCTGCGAGCCGAGCAGCGACCTCGGGACCTCGGCCGCAGGTGCCCACGCGCAGAGGGAGCGGTACCGGGGCGCGGGAGCCGAGGCGCCCTCGTGCGGAGCCTCCGGGCCGCTGGGGCGCGGCGGCAGGAGCCATGCTCAAGCCCAAGGACTTGTGTCCCCGAGCGGGTACCCGCACCTTCCTGGAGGCCATGCAGGCTGGCAAAGTGCACTTGGCCCGCTTCGTGCTGGACGCGCTGGACCGCAGCATCATCGACTGCCGCGCGGAGCAGGGTCGCACGCCGCTCATGGTGGCCGTGGGGCTGCCGGACCCTGCCATGCGCTCCCGCTTTGTGCGGCTGCTGCTGGAGCAGGGAGCAGCGGTGAACCTGCGGGACGAGCGCGGCCGCACCGCACTCAGCCTGGCCTGCGAGCGAGGCCACCTGGACGCCGTGCAGCTCCTGGTGCAGTACAGTGGCGACCCCGAGGCCGCCGACTCGGCAGGCAACAGCCCTGTGATGTGGGCAGCGGCGTGCGGCCACGGGGCGGTTCTCGAGTTCCTGGTGCGCTCCTTCCGCCGCCTGGGCCTGCGCCTGGACCGCACCAACCGCGCGGGCCTCACGGCGTTGCAGCTGGCCGCAGCGCGCGGCCACGGGACCTGCGTGCAGGCGCTCACGGGGCCCTGGGGTCGGGCCGCCGCCGCCGCGGCTGCGCGGGGCTCCAACTCCGACAGCCCCCCGGGCCGGCCGGCTGCCGCGCCGAGCCCCGAGCGTCGACGACCCAGCCCACGCCGCCTGCCGCGGCCTCTCCTGGCACGCTTCGCGCGAGCTGCGGGCGGCCACGGCCACGGGCACAGTGGCGAGGCCGCCCCGGCGGGCAAGGGCTCGGGCCGGCACCGGGCACCGGGCGCCGAGCGGCCCGAGTTGGGCCGCAGCATGAGCCTGGCGCTGGGAGCCATGACCGAGGAGGAGGCGGCACGCCTCCGGGCAGGAGCTCTAATGGCCCGACCAAACTCACCCCAGTCTGCGGGGACCGGGCGGTGGCGTTCGCATGAGGTGCTGGAGGGAGCTCCCCCAACCTTAGTGCAAGCCCCCATCGGCCTTAGTCCCCACCCCGAGGGCGGCCCTGGCTCTGGCCGCCTGGGTTTGCGGCGACGTTCCACAGCCCCAGACATCCCCAGCCTGGTCGGGGAGGGTTCGGGACCCGAGAGCAGCACGGAGTTAGAGGCCAACGCTCTGCCCCTCTCGGTTCCTGGGCCTAAGCCCTGGCAGGCAGGGGCCGAGGCTGTAGTGCTGCAGGCCCAGCGATAAACAGCAAGGGCCGAGTCCTGCTGTCCTTCCCATCTTCCCAGGTCCTCATCGTCTCGAAGGCTGCCCCCACCCCTCAGAACCTGTCCTCACTGCCAAAGCGAGACCTCTACCAGTCCTCCACCAGAAGTAAGAAAGGGACTCAAACTCCTCTGTGTGCTTTGCTAGTGCCAGTCTAGATCCCTCACCCTCCTTTGGACCTGCCTTTCCTGGAAGGTGAGGATCCTGCAGAGCACCTCTATTAACTTCCATCAGAAAGGTAAATTTGAGACTGGGTCTGCCAAAGTTATGGGAATCTGTCAGGCCCCTTCCTTTGCTGAGTTTCCCAGCACCCTGGCAGCCAGGCAAGCGGAAGAGTTGACTTTTCCAAGGCCTGGCCTCTTGGCTGGTGATAATGAAGCTAATGCAACAAACTACCAAAATCTCCCTCTTGTTCGTTTTTGAGGGGAGGAACCAGATAGGATCTAGACAGGAGGGCTGATGGGGAAGGAATCTGGTAGTTAAATTTTTCCAGGGTAGAAATTTCTGCTTCAAGATAAAACATTTTGCGGGGCCGCAGAGCTTCAGGTGTTGGCCACCAGTTGACTTTTGCACCAGCTTCTGGGTAACAAGTTCCCTCTGCCTCTTACTCTAGGATTCAACTCCTTGGACAGTGTAGGCTCAGGTCTTCCCCAAACCCTTGACCAGCCAGCCTGCTCCTCAGCTCCGATGCATTTGAAGTCCATCTTGGTGGGTCACCGATTCACTCCCTGCCGGCTCAGCCTTAATTCCACGCACTCCCTTCCCAGAGGCTCGAAATGGAAAGGATTTAGCACTTCCCCGCCCCCACCGACTCCGCGATCCACACGTGGGTGCTCGGGCAGGGTAGAACGGTTGCAAAGGCTTTTTACTTAATTGCATTTCTTCCAACCCTCAAAGAATTCGTGTTTTGAGGCTTTGTACACGAAGCTGAAAGCAGCGGGTCTGATGGAGGCTTAAGAACCTGACAATGTCTCTTTAAATAGAAGCTCCGCGGGGGGGGGGGTAATTGACTGAAGTGTTTTCGACGTTAACCGGCGGCTCGCGGGAGTCGGGAGCCCACACGAGCCGCAGGTCCCGATTTAAATTACATCCGTCATCGGTGAAAACTGAAAGGGGCCAGATCAGCATGCCCTGCTCCTCGCTGGGCTGTTAATGGAGGACAGGGCCGATGCTAAAGGCTGAGACCAAGGACCCCCGCCTCTGTCCCCCTGCGTGGGACGCAGGCCCAGCCCAGCTTCCAGCTTTTATTACTGGGCAGGTTAGTAACTCAGAGAGACCTGCGTGAAAGGTCTTTGCTGGCCGCGTCCTTCGGCTCCGGCTCCCGGTCCCGCCCTCGCCGTCCCACTCTGTTCCCTCCTAGCGAGGGGGCGGGAGTACGGGAGGGGACAGACAGATCGCTCGCGCTAGGACCTCGCAGAGGCGCCGGCAAGGGTGTCGGTGCGCCCGCCCCGCGGGGAGGTGCAGGTGGGGGTGCTTTGCGAACCCCGAACGTGGAGCGCGCAGCCTCTTACCCTGCCTGCGACGTCGTCGATGTATCTGTCTGCTGGACGGAAGGTTCTCGACAGTAACTCCGAGGAGCCGCCCACAGCGGGAACGACCCTGCCGAGAAGTGAGGGCGGGGAGAGCGCGGGATCGCGCCCGGATGGGCCCTACACCCGGGGCCGCGCGGGCCGCAGCCTGGACGTGATCCCCGGTGCCCCCTGGTGGCTAGCGACCTCCTCGCTGCGCCCAGGCTCCGAGCCCAGTCTTCTAGTTTTTGGGGGATCGCTAATGTGTACTTTTCCCTCCGTGAGTGTTTATCATGGAATCCGCTCCCTTTTGAACACTAAATCCAGATACTTGAAGTCACTTCACAGCAGAGAAGTGTGGGACAGAGAACCAAAAACAGCAACGACAATGAAAACGCTCATTGGGTGGGTGTAGCAGCCCAGGTCCTTTCCTAAGAAGCCCAAATGAATCTTCAGTTGAGGCTCCCTGCCCTGAGAGCTCCCGCTGTCTGCTGAAAAGTTGGGGCTTGGTGGACACCGGAACCTGCCAGTTCCATGGAGTTTCCTTACAGTAGCTGTTCTTTTTTCTGAGTGTTCTACCCTTTACCCCTTTGCCCCAAACATCTGCTGACCTCTGTCCTCAGACTGGGTGATAGGTGACTAATATCAGAGTCGTGCTAGGGTGGGGATAACCGGACTCTCCAAATGCAAACTGCTCCCTTCTGACCTGTGCTTGCCCGTTTACTCCCTTCCCACTGTGTTGAAGTTGTTAATGGTGTTAGAATACAAGTATTTTGGCCCCAAGATCTGGGTCGCACATTGCATCAGAGGCTCTGTTATCTTTCCAGGGCCTCGGACATGTGGCTTTTGGGTGAATGTTACCTCGGGCTCTCTCTATTGGAGAAATAGCCAGTGGAATAGCCTAGAGCTGAGTGGTTGGTTGAAAAAAAGCTTCAGCGCTCTCCTGTCTGAGCTGAGCAGCGTCTGACTCTTTGCTGCCCTTACAGATATGAGCCCAGCTCACTACACAACTCCATGTTTCACTACACTGTGCCCCCATTTCCCCCAAACTGCCTCATTGTCAGCCTAGGGCACTGAGGCTGGGGTCCCCTCTAGGTCTCCCCACCACGGAAGAGACTTTGCTAAGCAATTTGTTCTTCCTACTCTAACTGCTTTGCCATTGGGAAGAATCACCCCAGCCCTTGTCGGTGTGGGACTCAGAGGGACATATACACAACCCCTTTGGGTTCTGTGTGGTAGGAGGACTAGTGGAACTCATGAGAATAGCTAATAAACCCAGTATTCCTTTGTGAGAACTGGCCTGTGTCTGCCTTACCACCCAGTCCCAACTCGTTATTCCCTTGGGAGGGACAGAGGGTACTTTGGCTTGCTGTCCTTGTCAGCCCCATCCACAGCTCCAGAGGCCCAAGGGGCTGGGGCTGCAGGACCAGCTTTGCTGTCTGCTGCAAGACAGCAGAGGGTAGCAAGAGGGTACCCTTGCTGGGTACCAAGAAGGGGTCCGAGTGGCCCTTTGCCCCTGGCTGCAAGGTGTGTGAGCCCCAGGCTGGGTGTAGGTCTCAGGAAGGGAGGACTGCAGTTCATATCAGAGTAGAAGTTGAAAGGCGGCTTTTCTTGCCCTCCACCCCACATTTCTTGGTTTCCAGCCATTTCTCTGTGCCATCCCAGTGCTGCACTATCTCATTCAGTTCTGAGAAATGAAACAGACTGCTTTCTCACTGGCAGCCTGAGGTTTAGGGCATGAGAAGCAAAACAAAAGGGAGAGGCTGATGAAGGGCGCCTGAGGTCATCCCGAGCAGCTTTCCTGCTGGGGCCCTTCTCCCTCAGGAAGGAGTCCTGTTTCTCATCTGCTTCAGTCCCAAGGGCCTTTCATTTCCTGTTTCCCTCCTTCTCTGCCCTCATTTCAGGCCCACATGTCAACAGGGAAGTTAGATGTTTTGAAGACTCCAGTGACTCCGTGCTGGGCTACTCAGAGACCTATTCCAGGCCATCTAGGTCCAAGACAGTCCGATTCCAATCCCAGAGACACCAGGAAGCCCAGAAGTTTGAACACTCAGTTTAATTTAAAACAGGCACAAGTGCAAACAATTCACAAAAATTTCTAAGGAAGATGCTTTTGTTTTTAAAACTCTGACCTTTAAAAAAAAAGTCCTTGCAATGTCTTTGCCCTAAAGCAGGTCATGAGGGGACAGAGGAATCTAAAAATACGACCTGGATGGGTCCAGACACCTGGTACTTCCCTGGTTTCCCCTGTCCCACAACAGCCTGGAGGCAGGAAGGGAGGACAAGGTGCCAGATGTCTGCAGAGGCAGCTGGGACAGCAGGTTTGCACAAATGGGGTATCCATTCCTTTAGCATGATGGAACCCCAGGCAGTGGTTTTCTGTCCCAGACTGGGATTCTAAACAAAAGGGCAGGCCTCTGATGACCTGGCTAAAAATGAAGGTGACATGTGAAGCAAAATTTATTCCCTTATCTCCTGTCTCTGGCTCTTGGACCCCATAGTATTGGGAGAAGCTCAGAAGCCTCACAAGTAACCAGCAAATGTTAGACTCCACAGAGACTCTTTGCTGGTTAGGAAGAAAATGGGACTTGAGTGGTGGGGAGCCAGGCCAAAAAAAGGAGGTCCTTCAGAGTGGACGTCAGTGGGAGAGAGGATGGGGCAGCCCCTCTGAAGCTGGCTGTGGGTAACCAAAGGGACCCAGCCCATGGGGGTGACCTTCCTTTCCTTACTTCATACTGTGAAGTGAGGCCACTTTTACCAATTAATTCCACTCTTGGTCATTCACTCAGAAAATGCCCTCCCTCCCCACCTCTCCCATAGCCGGAGGAGGCCATCCCCAGCTGTGAGCACGCTGTGGAGGGAGGATATTTCGGGGGACAGAAGCAGGTGTGGAGGAAGGGGAATGCCTGCAGGAAGTCAGGCCGAGGAAGGAAGGAGGATTCGAGTAATAACAGCCTTCCCGGGGCCCTCTGAGATGCCAAGGGTTGAAGATGGAGCTGAGAACAGCAGGTACTCATGTGAAGATGGGCACTTTGCCCTCTGGGGAAGCCCAGGATGCTAGTGTACTACAACTACCTTTAAAAATTCCGCAGCAGCCTGTTCTGCTGCGCTGGCCACAGGCCAGGAGCGCTGGTCTCTAGGTTTTTTAGAAATATCCCTGTGCAAATAACGAAGGGTCATCCTGCAGAAGGGGGTCTCGATCATCCCAAAGGAAGTAGGGACTCTGGCGGGCAAGAGAGACCAAGGGGGCAGGTCCAGCCTGGCCCGTGGGCAGAGGGGCAGGAGGGTGGGAGTAGGATTTCACATTCAATCTTTGGAGAGAATACTGAGAACGAGGCAGGCAGGCCCTGCCAGCGGGCTGGCTGCCCAGTGTCCCCTGCCTGTGGGTACAGGTGGCAGGCGCACTTTGGGGGTGGGCTCAGCAGGTGGAGGTCTGCTTGCGGTAGAGTTGAATCAGGGGTACCAGGCACTCAGGCAGCCCCATCTGCAGCAGGAAGGGATGATCCAGGAGCTCCTGGGCTGTGGCTCTCTCCTGGGGCTCCCGCACCAGCATCCGTTCCAGGAAGTCTCGCAGCACTGGAGAGACCTGTGCAGACAGAGCAGGAAGAAGCAGCCATGGCTCCCAGTCCCTCTGGGGGACCTCAGTGTCTGGTCCTGTAACTGAAAGTCTGATTTCTTACTTCTGGCTCTTCCCAGGCTCACAGCACTTGTTGGATTATCAGGAGGTAAAGGCTGGAGTGTCAGCCCAGGAGCAGTGGCCACCTCACTTGTACTGGCAGCTGCCAAGCAGTGGAATTAGGATGTTTGGAAGTCTGGGAAGCTGGGTTCTACAAAGAGCCACCCCACTGCCTGTCTCAGGGCTCTGGACTCCCCACTCTTCTCAGGGCCAGTGGTGCAGGCTCCAAGGGTTCAGTCATCTTGAAAGACTGGTGTTGGGGTGAGGGTTACAGTTAGTATTACAATGAGTATACCCTGATACTGGGCTTTGGGGGTTCGGGTACCCTGATTTTTTGGTTAGGACTCCCCAGTTCTGGTGTCTGAGTAAGGGTACCCTGGTATGGGTACCAAAAAATGGATAACCCATTTTTGCCAGTTTGTTGGTCTTCTAAGCCTGCTGTCTTGGAGCCACGGAACAATTTTGCCACTTAAGACTTTCAACCCTCTGGGATGGTTCATGAACTGGCCACCAGATGGCAGTGCTGTTTGCGCTGACCTGCCTGTAGGTTTAAAGTGGGAGTTGGCAGGAAAGGAAAGGGAGAGGTCTGTGCTCAATCAAGCATCAAGCTTCTCTGGATCTCTCCCCAGGACAGTAGACATCCATGGTGTCTTTGCTGTCCCCACTCAGGTGCCTGCTGAGAAGTCACCCTAGCAGTGCAGCTGCAGGTGCAGTTGTGGAAACGGCTCCACACTCAGCAGAGCCTGCAGAAAAATGAGTCCAGAGCCTCTGCCTCTGGTACAGGCAACAAGCCGGGCCTGGCCAGCATCCCTGGCTCTTGTTCTGGAACCTCAGGAGAAAAAGGGTCCGTGGGACCACAAACTGCACTACCTACCTTGTGAGAGTTCCTCAGCTTGGGTGGGGGGCTGTCCCGGAGTCTCTTCATGGCTTGCACGGGAGAGTCACTGAAGTAGGGGGGCTCCCCATCCACCATCTCAATCACCATGATGCCCAGAGACCAGATATCCACCTGCAGGAAGAGAATAGCCCTGACTGGGAGCCTCCAGCCACAGTCGGGCCCTGGACGGCAGTGGACTGGCCCCAGCTCTCCTTGGTGCCGTGTGGTCATTACTTCCTGCATGAGTGGCAGTGCTGTGGAGACACGTATGTTAATGGCTGTGGAAGTTCGCCTTGCATAGGGAAGCTTGTGCCCCTTGACCTTGTGGGGGACCCACACTTGGCAACAAAGTGAGGTGAGAAGCCTGATCTGAGACAGGGGTGATCTAAGTGAGAACCTGAGAACCAGGGCCACAGCAGAAAGGCTATCTGGGGAAGAAGCTGAGGGGTAGAGGGACTGGTTACCTCAGTGGCATAGAGAGACCTGGAGATCACTTCAGGAGCCATCCAATAGGGGGTTCCCACCAGGGACTTCCTCTTGGGGACATCTTTGCTGATCTGAGCACAGAATCCAAAGTCCGAGAGCTTCACCTGGGATTGGATGGGAAGGAGGTGGAGAATCTGGAAGAGGGAGGCTGTGAAAGAGGAGGGGTGTGGGGGGGGAGGACAGTGTGCCTACCCGCCCATCGAGGGTCAACAGGATGGAGTCACTCTTGATGTCCCGGTGGATGACACCCTGGCCATGCAGGTAAGCCAGGGCCTGCAACACAGCCTCACACACAGTAGCGATCTGCTCCTCGTTCAGCCTGGACAGGGAAGGCAGGGCCACCCAGCGGAAACAGTGAGTTTCACCAGGGCAGCTGGGCTGGGCAAGGTGGAGGGGCACAGGGCTCCACCACACCCAAATAGTGTGTTTAACAGTGCGGTCAGGCTGAAGTCCTGAGTTACTCTTCCTTTCTCCACTCCCCTGAGACCCCTAGGTCTCAGCTACCCCCAGGTCTCCTCAGCCGAATGCTCCCTGATTGCCTTGCCAAGGCAGTGGAGGGGCAGCCTTCTGCAGGGCCCAGGCCTCCCAGCTGCCCACCTGACTTGGGAGATGATGTCTGTGAGGGCCCCGCCTTGCAGGAACTCCATCAGCACCCACAGCTCCTCGCCCACCAGGTAACTCTTGTACATCTCCACCACGTTGAGGTGCTGGTAGTCCCGCATGATCACCACCTAGGGCAAAGAGGCCTGAGTGAGAGGCACAGC